GAACGCCTCTGCGCATGTGTCAACACGGCGCATGCGCAGAAAGTTTTAGTTTGATGTCCGGATTATAGATCATTCCGATTAATGGGTGTCCGATTAACGATTTTGACTGTATTGGTATTATGTTTGTTGCTTGCCATTCGTTCATTTTCATTATTGAAATTTACATATCATGTTCAAACAGGGTCGTAGCGGTCCTTATAAGGTCTTTAACCCTACATTTAAAATAAATATAAAGGCCTTATAGGTTCTTTTTTCTTTAAGCCCTATTTTTTTGCTTTTATGCTTTTTTAATAAACGCGCTATTTTCCCCCCGAAAAAGCGACACTAAATAACAACTTTTCTTCCTAAACGAATGTCAAATGGTGAGTCATACTCCCGAAATAGCTTTTTCCCGCTTTCTCTGTATTAACATCCTTTGGTGTGCACGAAGAGTACAGGCAGGTCCCGTCGTTCTATTGGTCAAAGATTCGAGAGCAGTAGAAAATTCCGCTACATTCGCATTCTTTTCCTCCCACCCAAATACTACACACTTTTGAATTTCTATCAAGATCTTAAATTGCATTCTCGTTTCGCTTGTCATCTACCAAACCAAGCGAAGAAGATTCTATTTCCGGAAATTTAAACGCCGTCTGGTTTAAAATTAGAATGGAAAACACCCCAGTTTTTAGTTCTCTTTATTTTCCCAATACCGGCAGTTGTTGATTCCGATTGCGTAATTCACGTAGGGTAGAATACGGCGCACGTTTGCGCAATACGTTGCGATATTTTGCAGAGATAATTAATTTGATGTTCAGTCCGAGATTTGGTTTATGAACACTTGAGTTTTTACTGTGCTGTAACAGAATATTTTAGTTCCGTTGGTTTATTTTTATATGATGCACATATTGAATGTCAAAAGCATTTATTAGCGAAAAATCTAAAGAGCGGCTACAGTCTACCTCCCCTTCGCTCCATCAAGTTACGCCTCGACTGTCCGAATATTCGCCATTTCCAAGTATGCGGGTTAGTTTAAGCTTTAACTGTTAAAGATGACTGCATGAGCATTTCTTCTTTCTGATTTCAGAAATGTTTCTCTTTTTTACTTAATTGCTTTGCTTGCAATATCTGTTAAGAGAAAACTGATATACAATGAATTTAGAATGTTCATAATTTAGATTTAAATTATTTAAATATCAATGATGAAAATAAATTGTATTTATTATTAGGTTCCAAGCGAATCAATAAAATATCCTTATTATTAGTTATTTTCGCTATTTTTAAACGAAATTTCATCATTAAATCTGTCTATATTAGTTCTTCATAGTTTTTTTTATTTCATTGTAAACTAGTTCAGTAAATTGAACTAATTATTTAAATTAAAAAAAAAAAAGTAATTATTTTCCATGGTTGAGGTAATGCTTGTTCTCTCTTAATAGTACTCATCTTCATATTTTAAATTACAAGTTAATTTTTATGGTTATCAGTTGTGTATGATGTAATTAGACAGGTGCTTATTTTTTTTTCTTAAAATGGCTTGAAAGTGCTTACAGGGCTTTATTTTTTTTAACTAAAATGTGGCGATGAACTCTGTCAAATAGCTTGCCATTTGTTAATTTTCTTAATAAAATATTTTGGTAATTGCATTCAATGATTGGTTATTTGGCTTTTACGAAACGTGAGAACTAAAAGAAACCACATTTTAAGTTATTGTGGACTATTGAAACTTTTTCCCCTTGTGTGTGGCCTTCTAAATAAGGGTGCATCTTATATGCCGTCAAATACGGTCTCTCTGAGGTTAGTTATTTCAATAAACAAAAATGAAATAGAATGACATACTTTAAAAACTTTGAAAGTTACAGAATATAGATATTATGGAAATTATTGTTAGTACTTACTTTGAAATACTGTTAAAAGCGATAAGAATAACACATTTAACAGTGGTGGGGAAAAAAATGGTGCAAATGTCTGTTTTTTGGCATATGTCTTATAGTAGAAACGATTCTAATCTTGCATAAATTTTCAAAAAATTAGGAATATTTTTTATGGCTGATAAATTCTGGGAGAGAACTAATAATAATGAGAAAGTTTGTATTTTGGTAATTATTTAAGATTTTGTCAAATGTGTGGATATTAAAATTACTCAGTTATAATATAGTTATTATTTTAATTTTAGGATCCAACATGTTGGGATGATGTTTTAATACCAGGTCAAATATCAGGTGTATGTCAGTCTGAGAACTGCAATGGAACTGTAGCTGAATTTTATTTTAAATGTGCCAAACATATTGCATTACCAGATGAATGGGCAATTCCATTATATCTTATAAAAAATAATTTTAAGCACATACCATGTATTGCTTGTACTGGTATAAGGCATGTATATTAAATATTTTGAACTTATTTTAAATGCATAATATGACTGCAAAGAGAAAATGCTACACTATGGAGATTTTATTGCATCACTTTTCATGTTTCAGAATTCATTTAGGTTAATGGTACGATCTCGTTATGGAAATTATTGATGTTTCAGTCACTTTTATAATTTGTCTGTTAAGCTAATTTTTAAATTTTTACCAATTTTTCTGTCAATATAAAGGGGGAGGTTTGTTAAGACATAATGAAGGATGTTTTTATGAAACACATGTGTTTACTAGATCATCAGAGCCTGTAACTCATATCAGCATTTCTCAATTTATGGTCATGCTAGATTTCCAAACAAGACAATAAATAAATTAAAAAAACAGAAAAGAAATAAAATTCAAATTAACTGCTTATACCAGACCATGGGTAAATGGAAGACAGGTGTATGATTGGATGAATCATGTTTTCTCATTCATCATTAAGTGGTCATGTCAGGGTACACCATCTTCCAGCCAAATGGTTGCTCCCCCCTGTACGGCAGGTCGTACAGCAGGCTGCTGGTGGTGGTATTAAGTTTTGGTGAACATTTTCATGGGTGGCTTTGGGACCATTAGTTGTGGTAGAACAGACCATATTGCGCAACTGAACATAATTTCGTATTGTTTGCATCTGTAACATGGCGTCTGTTATTCCAACTGGAAATGGAATTTTCCAGCAAGACAACATCCGATGTCACAAGGCTCGAATTTTATTGGAGCAGTTCAAGGAGCATAAGGATGTATTCCAATAAATGTCCTGGGCACCTAAATCGCTGGAGCTTAACCTGATAGAGCACATTTGGATCATGGACTGGCAGCAAACACCACAATGTATCAGAACATTATGTGACTGCTGCTTAGACATTTGGTACAACCTGTCTTCAGTCATCTACCAAGAACTTGTGGCATCCATGCCAAGGCGAGTTGCAGCTGTTTTGTAGGCTAAAGTAATTTAACATGTTATTGAGCCGGTGGTCAAAATGTTTTGGCTCTCATTGTAGGCAGACATCCTTTGCTGATCCTCAGATTTCTCACAAATGAAAAAAATTTGTGTGTCACATGAATTTATAGTTGTGTGATCACTCACCTTTGCCATGAGTATGTATGCATTGAGAATTTGCATTAATACTGCATACTAAAGTAACCTAAGACAAAATGCACTTGTTGAATCAGTAAGTACCAGACTTAATTATGATTGTCCCACCCAAAATGGTGGTCTTAGTTCTACTTGATGATCCTGTGTAATGAGGCACTGGGTTTGTGTAATAGTCTGACAGGAAAATCATTTTTCCTGAACATTCTTCACTATCTATGAACCAAACTTTGTTTCAAGTTTTTTTTATTTCTCTCTATAGTGTTGCATTTTCTGTGTAAAACAGTTACTTGCAATGAATAATAATAGTACAAAGTCTGAAATCCGGGATTTTGCCGATTCCGGATTTGGGATTTTTCTGGATATTAGATCATCAGTTTAAATCTAGTAAGATGGCATGTAGAAATTATAAAATGAAAAATATAAAATCGTGATTTATGAAATAATGAAGTATTTATGATCTAAAGGGTATCAAAATTACAAAACAAAGCTTAATATTTATTTGTTTACCTTTTTAAACATTTCGTTCAATGTATGTTGTTTAAGTTGCTTTGTTTTTTGTGATAATACTTTCTTTTTAATTCCATAGACAGACATAATCTCTTTTTCAGTTACATTGTTGAAGTCTTGGAACCGCTGTTTGGAGCATTCCGACTAACTTGTCAATCGAAATTTTCTCGTTTTCAGTGACTTTTCTGTCACTTTCTTCACTAAACGGTAGAAATATTTTACGGATCTAGAACCATACTACAAATTTTGCCATTCATTAATTCATTGATGATTGAGAACAGTGTCATCACAATGAAAAACTTCTTTTATATCATCTTCATTTATTACCGCTTCTCCACATTTCTTTGCAAAATCTGTTAATTGGAAAATTACACCTTTGTTTTGCGATACCCAAAAACCTTTAATATTAGCGGCTATCATTATCAAATTTAGCTATCCTTCACTATACATATTTGGCTATTCCTCATGAGCTTGGCAACTAACGACAAGTTGTTCCGTTAAATTTTGTCTTTCTTCTATAGTGCACTGAGGCAATTAAGCCTGAATTTTATTAATTTAGTTATTTATTATACTTATGTCTATTTCTTACACAGGCTTAAGGCTTATCAGAGCTCTGAATAAATAAATTCACACATATACTTAAGCCTTATTGAGGGCCGGTGCAAGATATCTTAACAGCCTAGTGCAGTCTCTGTGGGTCCTAAATTCTCCAACTCGGTGCGCCATCGGTGCGCCATACGAGCCCTGGCACTGGTTTTGGGTTTATGCGAATAACAAATCAGTTATTCTTAACTTAAATAGCCCTAAATGTAATCTTTGGGTGTATGAGTATCATTAACAAAATCTATTTTTAGCATATGGAAAGAAATTTTTGTTTAATTTTTCCTCTTCAACATTTTTAGCACATTTAAGTTAAATCTGTAATGTCAACATACAAGGTTACCATACACCTTTATTATTAAATTACTAACATAAAAAAATTGTTTAGGCTTCACTACATGAATCATTACTCAAGTTGTCATGTTTTGATAAACATGCGGTGATGAAAGGATTATCAACCATGTGTCTGTGTTGAATGTTTGAATTTGAGATGTGTACCAAGCAGATATGCAGCAATGGAGCCAAATTACTGATTGTACAAATTTATGCTGAAATGATTGTTTTTCCTTTTTTATATGAAGTGAAATTAAGAATCGGGACTCTCCAGATGTTTTATTATTGCAGAGGGGGAAATCAAATGCCTATGTGTAAAGTCTGTGAGAAAAATGTTGTTGGTGGTTTTGAGGTCTGGAGTTTAGATCATTCGGGATAATTGACATCTGGATTTCGGACTTTGTACTGTATAATTAAATGGTTTTATGTGTTATGCATAGCTTCATGTTTTAATACTTTTTTCTCCCCTGTTTGTTTTTGGTAGCAAAGTTCATGCATTTTTATATTCCCTACCTTTTTTATCCGTTCCTATTTATTATGAAGAAAATTTGTAATTTAAATTGATTTGTTAGCAAAACAATTTATCCAGTGTGTATTTTTAGAAATGGAGCCTAAAAGTAATATTTATTGCAAAAGAAATGTGGTTTTTTTAAAGTAATGAATATTTGTAGAAAATCAACTACTGAAAATTCTTTTTATATGATAAATATGACTTCAAAATCAGACAATTTTAATATTTTTTACACAAAGCATGCTATAAATTCAGCATGCACAGTTTTTTTTTTTCAGATGGTTTAGGGAATTATGATATTATGCCTTTTTTCAAAATTTAAAATGTATTTTCATATTATTCTCAAGTGTCAGACCTTTCATGTGGTTTTCAAATACAAGAAGTTTTTGAGATCTACTTAAATTAAAAGACCTACCAAATGCAAAATACTTTCATTATAAATAAATTTCAACTTTGTCACTTGATTCCATTAAGAAGGAGACAAACTCTTCTTTTGCATTCTCATAGGTGATGAAACGTAGATATCTGATGTGACTTAAAAAATTGAAATATCATTCCGTTCAAGGAATCTTCAGAGAAATGTAAAATTAATATTAAGTGATTTCAAATGAAGCTTATGTGCATGGTGTTTTGGGGTAGAATATAATTTTGCCTGCAGAGTTTTTGTTTTGAGGCAGAATTATAAATTCAGGTGTTTATTGTAACCCATTTAAAAGAACTGCATCAAAAAGCAATAAGTGCTGATTCAAGATGTGGTACTGTTTCATGAAAAGAAACATTATTGTTCATTCAAGGGGTTTTATCGCTGTTAATTACAATGCTTGACCACATATTGCTATCAGTAACTTTCATCTTTTCCTGTATTTGAAGATGTTTTATAACAGGCAATTATTTAATGAAGAAAAAATTAAAGTAAAGCATCAACTAAATTGATAGATTATAGTTTTCTATGAGAGAGAGTGCTATGGAATTTCATGCAGTATTATAACAAATGCCTCAAAGTTTAGTATTATGAATAAAAATACAGTGAATCCTCTCTAAGACAACCATCAATGATTCTAGACAATTCTGGTCTTCTGTGAAAGTTATAATTTTAAAGAAGGTGACTATAAACTATGATTTTTAGGAATACACATAAGGATCTACCCTTTTTGAAGCTCTTTAAATCTGTTAAGGTAAATTACTGAAGTAGAAGTTTGTCAGTTTTTTAATAAAATTATGTTTATGAAATTAAAAATTAAACACAAAGAATAATGTAAAATTATTTGAAAATGATTTAATTTGTATTTTATTCAAATAACCTTACTTAATCAAATTTTTCTAGGAATTTCAAAAATGCTTATAGTGCACATAATGAATTTGCTGATTTGATTACTTTTTTGCTACAATCGTTTCCTTTTTAAAACAATTTGAAGTTCATAAGCTAATCAACCATCTTATTATTTCCTAAATTATGGCCCAACTATTTTCTTAAGTTATTTAACAAAATTTAGAACTTATATATAAAAAGTTATGATCACATTACATAATGGATTTTATTTATTAATAATAAAATCAGCCATTGTTTATTAAAATGTTCATTCAATGATGGTTGCCTATAAATCTGTCTTGGGGAAAAATCCTTTAAAAACATTTTGAAATTCATAATATAAATCAACCATTTTATTATTTCTTAAATATGATCTATTTCTTACAAGTTAAAATAAGTAATTTCATAATTAAGGGAACTAGTGCCTCATTTTTTAAAGAAACGTGCAGACTCATGAGATACCAAGTAGATAGCTTGCCGAACATTGATAATTTTCAATACGAGTTCAAATCATGGCAAAAATACTGGCTATACAAGTCTTTTCGTGGTTTTTCTTTATGTGTAATTTAAATATGAACCATTATCCTTTTTAATGGAACTATTGCATTCCCTTTGCTTAATGCTGTTAGCATATTCATCTAGTAACTGAAAGATTCTTGAATCAAGTTACTTGGTTATTCAAGACTCAGTTAATTTTGCATCCTTCTCATTCCCCAAAATCTGATAATCTCTTTCACATTAGATAGTTCTCCATAAAAGCATTCTTGCTAACATAGGTAGCCTTTGTGTGCTTTGTCATGTTCAAAGAAGTAAGCTAAGGAAACTGAGTTAGAACTGCATTGAATCTCAGGTAAATAGGCTGGCTGCATAGTTGATTTTGTGACTTTTTCAATGTGTAACATGACTATGAGCCAGTTTCCATTAGAACATTCTCCATGGAGACACCTCTTCCCCTCTTATCTTTCTTTGAAAGTAGAAGCATTGATATCCTAATATATAAATGATAACCTAGTTCTATGACTTCCTTTTCAGTCTGAAGCAAAATAGTATCTTCATTTGTACCTTCATCTTCAGGTAACTCATGGTTAATACCACTTTGCTTATAATACCTTTTTATCATGTTCTGATTTACCTACTAACTAGAGTCCACCACTTATTAAACTCAGCCACTTATTATGCTCAAATTTGTAGGAACGAAAACATACATATAAGTCAAGAAAAAATTGGCCATTTATTAAACTCATTTCTACCACTTATTAAATTCAGATTAACAAAGGATTTCTTAAGTGTCCAAATATCTTATTTATAATCTATCAAAAATTTTCAGAAGTTCATCCATTTAATATACTGTAGACATGACTTTATTGTTCAGGGATGTAGTGCTTCAGTAAAATGGGTTTGACGAAAATTTTCCTATCTTTTGTTCACTATACCTATCAAACAGTGTTTTCTGAGTTTTTTTTCTGCTATGAACTTCAGAGGGGCAGAATTTATCTTATGGTAATCTTCTACAGGCATTGTAAAGAAATGAGGGTTCCTTCCCAAATACAAGCTGATAGCAGGTTGAGGTGCAACTATTGTATCTCATCTTTTAAGGTTTCCACATTCAAAATCTTCCTTTTGGGATAAATATATTATGTTCATGGAGAGTTATAAAAAAGTTCACAAGATGCTTCTTAGCATTACTGTTCATTAACAGTCTTTGAATGGAAAGGAAATGATAACTGCAGGCTGAAGGAAAAGCAAAGAAAGCACTGGTCATGCCTGTAATCATGAAATGGCAGATTGATTAAATAGACAAAGGACAGTCTGTCTGCTGGTAGAAATATAAGTCTTGAAGTTTGAGTTAATCTCTGGAAGAAGCATTTTTAAAATTGTGTGCTTAACTTGAAAATGGCAAGTGAAAATACTTAAACCTGAAACAGAGGAATAATGTTCTTGATAATTACAGTCGGGAAAAACTATATTTTAACTGGGAATTTCCCAAAACAGTACTGTGGAATTTACTTAAACTAGGAATCATAATTATTGAATAGCTAATGAAAAAAGCAAATGTCTTGAGGAAGTGCAAAAAAGATATAAAATTGAGAGACACTGGAACTGCATTTCTAGAATGGTTTCAAGCTACAAAATTAAAAAGTATTTCTATTTTTGGAGCTTTTTTTTTCACTAATTCGCTAAATGTGGGAAGAGAGTTTTGTATCAGCTGACAGATGGCTCACAAGTTGTAGAAAGGAAAATCCTGTATCGATAATTAGAAACTTCATAGTGAGAAGGAAGAAGCATCATGCATCTGAAAACTGGATAAAAGGTGTTTTACTTGGGCTGTTAGGTGAATATGAGACATAAGAAGTTTATTAATGCAGAAGAAACTGAAATGCATTAAAGAACATAATTAGCACACACATTAATATTTAAGAGTGAAATAATAGCTTAAGAAACTTCAGAAACTACAGGAACAAGTTACTGTGTTATTAACATGCGGTAAGGATCCAGCAATTAAAAATATAGCTCTGATTACTGACAAAAGCAAAAAACCTCAGTGTTTGAAAAGAGTCAAGAATTTAAGTCTTACTTACCATAGCAACAAGAACTCCTGGATGGGAAGTAGTATTTTTACTGGTTTCCTTTTGAAATTGAAAATTAGATAATTATGCAGCACACACACCTCTGATCTCTTTCTGAAAGACATTAATGTTTTTTCCTGCGAATACAACTTCTAACATTTTGCCTTTAGGCCAGGGTTATATAAAAGTTTTCAAATATTGTTACAGAAAAGATATTCAGAAAATGATGCACAGAATTGAATTTTGTGAAAATGCAAACACTTCGAAGGAGATAGTCAAAAGCTCTGCTAGAGGACATTCATATTATAGTCAATGCGTAGGCAATGCATGGGCTCTTAAAATCAGTTAAAAACTTTTTTCGAAAATGTGAGTTTTATACAGAAGAAGCCTCAAAGGAATTGCAAGTTTCAGATATCTAATATTTCACTAATGTTTTAGATATCAGTGAGAGAAGTTATGAAGATTCATTTTTATAATATTTCTGAATCCTCAAAAATATTGAGAGACATACACTCCAGGTATTACAGATTGTCCGTAGTTTTTACAGAAATTCTTGAAAAATTATAAGCTATGAAAAATAGGGGAAAAACTACAGATTTTGCAGAACGAGGGCAGGAGAAATAATATGTCAAACAGAACCAACAAACTGAGCTGATGATTGGCTAAATGCATGTGATATCATGTATTGAGTACATTGCTGGTTTCGAAGAGTAGCCAATCATATATCAGTAATCTGAGACATTTAATCTCTGTAATCTAATTCCATGCATTAAAGGATTGTAATCTAATTCCATGCATTAAAGGACATGTTTACCTTGCTTCCATTCATTTGGATTAAGTCAAGAGTGTAGCCCATGTATCTTGTGAATTGTGATTCATCTGGAAGTTTTTTGTGAGTTATGTCACCACAAACTAAGAAGCGAAAATTATCAAGCTAGAAATTTAAAGATTTACATTCAACAGGATTTCCGTGCATTTTTTTGTAAATCATGCACATTGCAGTGGACAAAGACCTCTCAGTTGTGCATGGCGGAAAGGATGACTGTAAATGATGTGTTTTTCCAAACGGTAAAGAATAAAGAAATAAGTGCATAAAGAAATAGGTGTTATAAATTTAATTAGAGAGAAGGCCAAAGCAGAAGCAGTGAGAGAAAGTGGAACAATATTTGATAAAAATGAAACAATTGTTCAATTAGACAGAATTAAAAAACGAAAAATATGTACAAATCTAAGTTTGCTTTATGTTTAGTTTTACCTTTTTTATGTTCTAGAACTGTTTCTTCATATTATCAAAAGTTATTTTGGATTTTACCCTCTCTTAGTCTTATTCTTTAACTCTAATAAATGCTATGTCACATTAAAAGTCTTCAGAAGTTTAGTTATCTTGCCAAACTTCTGAAGAATATATACCTGATCTAATTACTGATATATGAAAATACTGTATAAAATTTAATTTTCATTGATTGTTTTTTCATCAAGAATATTTAATTGTTTATTGGACAATTAAGTTTTCCACATGAATAAAGTTAATTATTATATTAGCCTTTTTTCAAAACAAATTTGGTATCATGATGAGTACAATAATATTTTTGATGATAAATTAGCAGATAGATATATTGATTATTAAGAATCTATAGCAAGATACAACTCTTGAAATTACAGAGTTACAGTAGTTTACAGGAAAAATTTGGTCTTCATTTCATAAGGTATAGTTTTGTTTTCATTCTTACTTTTATTATTTTACTATTCTGTACAATCTACCAAATTTTTTTTAATCTTGATATATATAAAAATCATTGATGTTTGTATTTTATCAAAATATAGTGCAACATTATGGATAAAGTATATATATTGATTTTATAATATTCTATATAGTTTGAGATTGATTCAGGTATCTTTCAAGAAGTAAATGGTTTAATGTTTGCTTCTTAAAAATATACCTACATGTTGATTTTTTCAAATTGTATGGAATTATTAACATCAGTTTAAGATTAAATTTTCCTTATTAATTTTGAAATTTTGTGCTATTTCTGCATCTGTTAATATATTTAAAATTAATTGAATTATTTTATGCTTTCTTTTTTAGTTTGTACCAATTTCAGCATTTTTCATATATTGTTTCAAATTTTCTTTTCAGTGAAGTGATATTAGTATTTCCATGTGCAGATGGCCATGTTATTTGTATAGAATGCTTTAGACTATATTGTATCTCGCGTTTAAATGAGAGAAGATTTATTCAAAATGAAGCAGTTGGTTACACAATTGATTGTCCTGGTAAATTAAATTTTAACTTGGTTGCTAATAAAATGGCAGATTTTTTTGCTCATTTTAAAATGTGATTTGGTTTGATTTTTTTCATTAAAATTTTTTTTTATCACTTTAGTCAGACCTCACTATAACAAACTCCAAGGATCAAATTTTTTACTGTATGTGACCTCATAATTAAAAGGATAACTTGGAAAAAACTAAAAGGATTGATAATTCAAAAAAAAAAAAAAAAAAAAAAAAAAAAAAAAAAAAAAATAATTGGTAGTGTCACATCTACTAAAAAAATATGTAATGACTAATTTTTTTAAATGATAACATTATGGGTTAATTACAATTATTTTACAAGCAATTATTAAATTTTCTTTTAAGAATTTTACACAGTAAAATCATATTTAACTCATCTTCCCCTCCAATTACATATCGTTCCCTAAAATGGCACAATTATAATTGTAATAATAATTTTGTGGCACAATAGGAACCTGTTAAAATGCATTTATAAGCCATATCTAATACCTGGTTTTCTAAGAATTGTGTATCACATCTGCCTTGATTAGCTTTTATTTAGAATATAGAGAAGTGTGGGGGATGAAAATAAAAGAACAGTAGTAAATGCTTTTTTCACCATCCTAATTGCATAAATATGGGGGATTTTTTCGATTATAATTTTCCAGGTAAAACAGAAATTATTATAAATACAAATTATTATAAATACAGAAATTATTATAAATACAAATCCATTTCAATCACAAATATATGCATAAAATTCATATATCCTGTTTTCATATGTTTAGAAATTTGCTTAATTGCTTAGAATAACACTGAGTATAAAGGAATTCGAAGGGGCCAAACAATTTTATTTTTTGAATATGGAAGTTCATTATAAATTGGGTTTGCTATAATGGGGTTTGATTATATTTACAAATGTGTAGTTTTATTTTAATTCTAAATTCATTTTTGATTGAAAAGTTTTAAATTAATTTTTTTTGTGATTCAAGGTAAGAAATGTTAAAAAATAGAGAACTTTCTAAAATTATTAAAATCTAATTATTTTATAGTTCTAGTTTTTTTTAAATATATCTAAACATAATAAAATTACAGGGTTTTCTATAATTTTGCATTATTGATGGTGAATTTGCTAATTTATTTTTGTTTCCACAGAGTATGTTAAAATGTATTTTGCAGTTATATTTCTATAAATAAAACTATTCCTTCACTTATCTAAAAACAGTTTCAAACCATGACTGTTTTCAAAATTATATCATTTAGTACTTTACTTTCCCTTTAATGGGCATACCATGTATACTAGTGTGCAAAACATAAGCAACTTTTCTGATTTTGGCAGTAATTCTGCCAGAAATTAACTGGGAAACATGGAATTCATACTACAGAGGCACAGTGTAGTTCATAAAGGATGAAGAAAGTATAGTATCCAAAAAATTAATAGGACATGTACACGAAGAAATGGAAAAAGGCTGTATTGACAAAATGAGGATGAAATCATGCTGCTAGGCTTTTCTTGAAAGTATTCCACACATATTCAATGGGATTTAAATGAGGGGAGCATGCTGGTATATCCATTCTCTGGATATCTTCACTTTTAATGAGCTCCTTAACAGCATGAGTCCTGTGTGGCCATGCATTATCATCCATTTTGTGTTTTTTTTTTTTTTTTTTTTTAGATTTGCTTGATGATAGCATATTATCACTTTTTTTTGCATCACTTTTCTGTCAGTTTCTGATTTCTGTTAACATTTTCATCGTAAGTTTTTATATACATTTCCTCAATATGGTTGTGAATAAACACATATTCTGAAAATGAATCCTCCCAACTTCTATCACTGATTATCTAAAACGTTAACTATAGTTGTAGTTCCTCCGATGCCTCTTCTACATAAAAGCCACATTTTCAGAAATAGTTTTTGAAGGATTAACTCCTGTATTAACTATAATTTGAATGGTTTCTAGCAGATATTATTGACTCATAAAATTCAATTCTTCTGAATTTACTTTCTATAATGACATTTGAAAGTCTTAATAATATCCTAAAATTAAAGGTTGAATGTTAGAAATAATGATTTAACATTGTTTTGCTTGGCATTTCAAGATGTTGCAAATTAATCACACATTAATTTTAAAATGCTTCTTTAAGAGATTTATTCAAATTTCACAATTCATGTTTTCATTGAATTTCTAGCTAGCAGAAAGATCACCCTTTATCTGTTTTGTCCATCTGCCACTTCAAGCCATCACAAGTTTAATCAATGCTTTCCTTTAAACTATAGTTTTTCTTTAATCTATAATAGCCAGTTCCTTTCCATTTAAAGTTCTTAATGAATGGTAATGCACAAAAGCGTTTCATTCACTTTTTTTAATGATACTGTGAACATAATGTATCTATTCCAATGGGGCAATTTTAAATGTGGTATAAGATTCATTTTAATTTTAGAGACTTTTAAATTATGTTAACTTCCTTTCCTATCAAGTGTCACTTCATTTCCCTGCCAGAATGCAAATTTTCAGCACGTGGGAAATTCAGATTAGGTCGGAAGAAGGACTTACTTAAAGGAAGTTTTTGGAGGGTGAAATCAAAGCATGTTCTGCCTGCTTGAAGGCCACATTGCTAACTTTGATTCTGTAGCAATTATAATTCTGCGGTGTTGAGTTATTCTTCCCATTTGGCTTGTTTACACTGACTTCAGTCAGAGCCATCGTGCACTCTAGTTAAACAGTGAAGCCATTAGGCTAAAATGTCATTAACTTTAGTTTATCCGTTATTATTGATAGTTAAGTCAAATGTTGCATAAGTTGGTGCCATCTGTTAAACTTTATTTGGATTAATAGAAGGGTCCTTTACACCTTTCCCTGTTTCTTTGGTACTTACAAGACATAGCCATAATTTGCCACTCGTCTTTTCAGAGTTTTATTCTAGTGTGTACTCCCTAGGAAGACCAAACTCTATAGTTGAAACGCTAAAAGATGGGGTAAAGAAGCTAAACGTTCTACCTCCTATCAGCTGGTATTCAAGAATGAACTCTCACTCATTTAAAATGTCTTTATAGGATTTTTTTTATTAAATTTAAGATGTGGAAATTCTGCATCTTGAAGGCCAGTGCATGCAAAGAACTTTTAAAGCAGTGTCTTCCAGGTACAGAGATTTTCAATTTCGGTCAAGCCTATTTTATTAAAACATTTCATACCTGAGCAATAAAGCCATGATTCTTAATATGCTAAATGTATGAAATATGAAAAGCTTTGATAGGTACAAGTAGAATATTCTGGTAGTGAAGAATGAATCTTTTGCCAATCTGAGTTTAATAAGTGGCAGAGATGGGCTTAGTATTTGTTTTAGTTCTTGGAAGTTTGAGTGTGGTAAGCGGCTAGTGAGTTTAACAAGTGGTGTATTTTATTTGATGTTGCATATTTCTACAAATCAATTGCAGTTACTGTTCAGTTGCAGGATCTTTTTTTAAAGATTGCCAGGGTCTTCAGATCTCATTTTACCTTTGTGGCTCTGTATAGGACATATTGAAGGGAAAAGTATTTACCTATGAAGCTTCACACTTGGCTTTAGGATTGAAGCTGGGGTTAACTATTAGTGTGATACTAAAGATTTACATAGCTCTGAAGAACTGTGCATTCATAATTTCACAAAATCAAACACAGAACTTCCTGCTTGTTAAAACCCTTTTAACGAAAAGGGATAAAAGTACAGAAAAGTTTGCCATGTTTTTCAAGTAATTTTGATGTACATTTGTTTGACAAAGAAATAGAAATAATTCACTTTGGTCGGAGACTTCCTTTATATGTTGCATATAACTTTTCTTTAAATTCTATTAGCAGAATTTGCATATTATTAAACAGTGTATTTTTAAATTTCTGCTTTTCTGAAGGAAAAATAAATGAATATGTACATAAAAGGGCCATTGCATCATAGCCGCCCTGTTAACAACATGTAGGACCACCTTTAGTCTTCAAAATTGCCAGCCCTGGCATTGCATTGACTCCACAAGGTGCTGGTAGGTAGTCTGAGGTATCTGATACCAAGCACTCACCAAGTCCTGCAACTCTTGCACATTGCGAGGAAGTAGTGTGGCAACACAAATTTGGTTTTCCAGGTGGAGCCATAAATTCTTTGCTGGATTAATGTCAGGTGAATTTGGAGGCCAAGACATGACTTGAAAGTCACTAGAATGTTCCTAGAACCACTACCTGATGATTCAACCCTTAGCACATGGTGCGTTATCCTGCCGGAAATACTGTTGTCATGAATGGCTGAACCTGGTCTGCAACGATGTTCATGTAGTGTACAGACGTCAGGGATTGTTCTATGGAGATTATGGGTTCTAATGTGCTCCATGAAAACATTGCCCGCACCAAGTATAACACCCACAACCGGCCTGTCTCCATCCAATTGTGCATCCGTTAGCAAGGGTTTTGTTTGGAAATCGGCATATTAGCACACGCCTGTCAATGTGATGGACCAGAAAACGTGATTCGTCACACTATGCAGCTTTCTTCCATTCTTCTAATGTCCAATTCTGATGTTTCTTGGCCCATTGCAGTTGCAGCTGGCAATGACGTGCCATCAGTGCAGGGACATGCTTCAGCCTTCGGCTGTGTAGGCCCATATACAGCAATGTATGCTGCACAGTGTGTTGAGGAACACTGTCTGGGTAGCCACTGTTGTAGTTGGTGATGATTTCAGCTGTTGTAGCTCTTCGGTCACTTCGAACAATGTGTAGCAATCTCCTGTCTCCTCTGGAATCGGTGCACCGTCGATGACACACTGCTGGCTGACCAATTTGTCATTTCACTATCCATACAAGACTTTCGATATCTGCTCACAACAACTGCATGTGAACAGCCCACTAACCGCATTGTTTCTGATACTGATGATTTTTGTATTGGCTGAAAGTTTCTAATGATGTGTATGCTTGCAATTATTTTTGATTTTGGAGAAATCTTCCCTTAAAAATACAGAAAGATAGCATGTAATTAAAAATTATTTTCAGAATAAAAATTAATAATAAACATAATATAATTATAGCAGTTCAATCATACGTTGCAGCTGTTTATCTAATTTCAAAAACATCATTTTATGGCCGATTTCATACTTCTTTCCTAGTGGTACAATTACATGTGGAAAGTGGGCAATTTGACACAGCTTCCTTTATTTTATATTCCAAATTTTAATTGCCTTCCCAAACAGATGAGTATAAATTACAGTTTGGGAGCTTTTATGAGGAAAACTAAACATTGAGAATTAATGGGAATCTGAGAATTATGTAATTAAATACATAATCACTGATACAAAATCTTTATTTGAAGATTCCAATATTTATTACTGGAATGGGATAATATGTAAGCTACATAATTTTTTTTTTTTTTTTTTAAGTTTCTGTACTTTCAGTTTACATTTTATATTAATTTATTTTATAGCTGTTTTGTTTGTTACATTTCAATTAAAACATTACATATGTTGTTTATTAGCATTTTTGTTTATATATATTTCAAGTAAATTTATATATGTGTGTGTGTGTATAATTTTATTAATGTATAATATATAATATTTATTATGTATAATTTTATTTTACATAATAAATATTATATATTATACATTAATAAAATATATATATATCTTAAAATACATTAATAAAATTAATAAAATGTATATATATATTTAATAAATATAAATCTTGTTAATCTGCTACATATTATATTTTATTGTTTTGTATATTACTTTCATTTCTGAGATTTTCTACCCCCATTTGCAGCCGGTTGCACAGATTCTCTTATTAAAGAACCACACCACTTCAGGTTGCTTGGGGATGAACAGGTTAGTTGAAATATTTTATGAAATTTTTATGTATTAGTATGATTGCTAGCAAAATTTAAAGATGGCTAGTAGCAAATAAAAATCCTTGTACATTTTTGGGAAATGAGAAAAATTTTGGATGTCAAATTCCAAATTTAAAATGCACAATGTTTCTTATTGGATGGGATTAAAAAGAATAGCATAGTACAAATTTTGTAATTAATTTATTAAGCTGAAACTAATTAATTGTAAAACTACAATTATAAAAGTTTTATATGGCGACAGCGATAAAATCTTCCAGCCATAAAATTGCTGCTAGAGGCACTGTTAATCAGTATCCATGTAGGAGAAAGCATAGTATGTTTGGGAATACATCAAAACATTATCATATATTGTCATTCATTATAAGACATTATATATTGAATGGTGGCTGAAACAGTTTCAAGTCACGGTCTGCTTATGGAATAAAACCAGCTTAGGACTAACAGCAGCCAAAATTAAAGTGGTTGAACAAATTCGAGAAATGTTTTTACAAAGTCCCACAAAATCAACACGTACAAGTTCTGAATCCAATGTGCCTCATGTAACAGTACGATGTGTGTTACGGAAATGTCTACTATGCTGGCCATATATACCTTTCAGATGGTATTAAAATCTCGCAAACAATTGCATAAAGCTGTATCGCAAGAAATAGCGAGATAAGCTGGGTGTAGATGGTTTTGTGAACAGACTTGTGTTTATGGATGAAGCTGATCACAATAATTCATAGAATAGATTCATAGCATGCATAGATTTTGGGGCACAAAATACCCACATGATGTAATGGAACATGAGTGTAATTCTCTAGAGGCAAACGTTTTCTGCGCCATTTTGAACAGTTGTGTTTTTGGTCCTTTTTTCTTCATGGAAAAATCAATTAACAGGTGTATTTACCAAGTTATCGTATCAAAGTGTTTTTCCTTCCTTTGGAGGAGGAGGTGGTTCTTGGCTTCATTTTGCTATAAGACAATTGCTCCAACACATTGGCATTGGAACATAAACCAGCACCTGAATGATAGTCTACCCATTTGCTGAATTGGCCATGTTAGGTCAAATGATATGCCATTGATTTGCTGGCAACCAAGATCACTTGTGATTTTATTCCATGAGGTTTTGTTAAAGACAAAGTGTTTGTTCATGCCTCCACTTCCCCAGGACTTACAGTAACTTGAAGCAATGCATAACTGAAGTGCATGGATCAATAACAAAGGATATGTGTTAAAGGAATTTTTTTTTTAAAATAGGTTGAAGCTTGTGTTTATTCATGCACCTGGGATGAAACAACATTATTAATATCTTAGGGTTTTGTATTTTTTTCTGAAACTATTGTATTAAGAAATCAGACTACCTATGCTAATTTTACGAGTTAAATTATATACCAGGGATGGCCAAACTTCAAGAAGATGGGAGCCACATGATAGTTTTTATGAACGTTCAAGAGCCACAAATTCAAATTTATATCGTTTCAAAAATAATGTGACAGGTTTTGAATATAAAGAAACTTTTGAAGTAAATTAATGAATTATTAACATGATTACGTATAAATATGAATAAATACATCTTATATCTACTGTTTTGTGTTTAGAAAAGTGTTAAGTTCCAAGGGAAAAAAAAATGTAACTCTTGTACTGGGCAACTGAGCATTTTTTTTTTTTTTTTTTTTTTTCAAACAGAGAAACTAAATATTTTCTTCTGATTTCCATTATACCTCTCCATTTATAATTATTTTTATTTTATTGACGTAGAAGTAAAACGAATTGGAAGCATATTCATTGGTCTACAATTACATAAAAAAAGTTATTTAGGTAAATTACAAATCATTATTGAAAAAAAAATCAAGTGCTGTTTTTGTTAACTCATAAGCAGTTTTTTAGAAATTATAAATTAAATGATATCTATCAAAGTGCACTGCAGAGAAACTGTTATTCAAGAAAGAATATTTATTTAAAAATAAGCTATTAACTTGTTTAAGCTTTTGCTTAAAAATAATTTTGTTTCTTCACACAATTAACATAAGGCCCAAGGTCAAGAAAGGCCAAGAAAGAATATTTATTTAAAAATAAGCTATTAACTTGTTTAGGCTTTTGCTTAAAAATAATTTTGTTTCTCCACACAATTAACATAAGGCCCAAGGTCATTCGAATCTTTGGATCCTAACCTAAGAAATCATTAAACTTTTTTCCCCAAAATTTTGGAATAACTATTTTTAGTAATGCCCAGTATAGAAAAATTCACCAAAAAAAGAATATGATCGCAATTCCATTGGTATTTGAATAATTAGTATCTCTCATGACGACCCTGACTAATACAGTATTTCAGCCTGGCATCCAATGGAATTTGCTAGAATTTTTTAGTAATCAGTACACTGCACGTCATTAAAAATTTTTGAAACTATCTCTCAAATCATACTGATAATTTTGGACATAACTAATGAAGTTCAAGTGCATCATTGAAAATTCTCGAAACTAGCTTTTGAATTGTCCTGATAATTTTGGACATGGATAACGAAGTTCATGTGCATCATTGAAAATTCTCCAAACTGTCTCTCGAATCATCCCAATAATTTTGGAAGTAGATAATGAAGCTCATGCACATCATTAAAAATTCTTGAAACTATCTCTCGAATTGTCCTAATTATTTTGGACATAGATAACGAAGTTCATGTGCATCATTGAAAATTCTCAAAACCACCTTGTGAATCATAATGATTATTCAGGACATACATAACCTATTGCTAATAAATCTAGTAATTCATGTCGAGCTATATAAATGCTTTGTGAAGCACATATTCCATCTGTCTATCAGCCAAACTGTTCAACCTAGCTGTTTAATTTTGAGCTATTTTTCAAATAGATGATGAATGAAAACTAATGTTACAGAAAGAAAACATACTGGTTACTGCTGTAATGAATTTATTTCGCAAGTGCTGATATAACATGAACGCGTAACTCTTCATATTTCTATGGACATGCACAGATGTTTGATATGGAGGCCTTTTGTAACATGGCAGACGTTTGCACAATAATTTAGTTCCTAAGCTTTTGACAAATAGGTGAATGGATCCACCATACTCAAACTGCTGGATCCATAAAGACAGTCAAATGACTTACAGTCTTGTCTTAAATGTGTAAGTAAAATAACCCAGAAAAAAATTTAAAATAAAATTATTTTCAACCTAACGGTTACATAGTACAACTTTCCATCGGGTTACCTAACTGTGTACAGAAAATAAATCTCAAATGGAGTTTGAAGTCTGTAGGCAGAGGATACTTTAGAAAATAAAAGATGTGACTTTAAAACTAAATGAGCAAAATTTCACATTATTGACTGAAAATTGGTGATTAAGCAGCGGATCATTGTACAACTTTTCATTGGGCTACTAAGCTTTCATGAAGGACGTGTCAGATGCAGATGATGATTGAAAATTAGGAAGACAATATCAACAGATTAAAAGAAGAGTAATGCAAGTGTAATTTTTTTGGAGCAACTGGTGCAGCTGCAGAGCGGCAGTACTTTTTACAGCAGAAAAATTTTAGATATGCCAGGCAGCAAAATGCCTCTAATTTAGTGTGATATTTACCGGCGACTCTAAGCTAGTGCCTAACCTGGTGCAGGAAAATGCCTCTAACCTAGTGCAAGGTAAAAAGAAAGAAGGTTATCAAACAAGAAATAGAACAATACAAGAAAATATCACAAGCTAAAGAGATTTCGCCAACATTAATATGCCGATTTTGACAGAAAATTTGGAGAAGAGATATGTTTGTGTTCTGTTGATTCCTCATTGCTTGATGCAGCATTATTGACATGAAAATTTTATAATTAAGATGAAGTATCTCTGTCTGAAATAACAATATTTTATAAAATGGGAAGTAAGCACTTTGACTAAAATTTAAATTGCTGTCAAACCAGTGATTCTTCCCACGACTTTAAGTATTTCAGCATACACAACGATTGGTGAAATAAGTTATGATCTCAAGGAATTATTACAAAAGATAGAGTTTCATGTGGGAAAAGAGCCCATCAGCGGCCGGGCAGTAAAGCCACTGAACACTGGTAGTTAGGTTTGAGGTTTGAATCCCATGAATGGGCTAGCTGCATGGTTTTCCCCCATGTGTAATGTGTATACGAGCCAGTTTCCCTTCGAAAGTCCTCCACGAAGGCATCCCTCCCCTTAGGCAGATAGCCCTAGTGTGCTTTGCCATAATTAAATAAACCAAACCAAAACCATGTGGGAAAAGTATTCATTAAGCACATTATTGTGAATGTTTGCAAGATGTGTGAAGCTATTGTTTACAAATGCCTGACTTGCTTAGAGACAGGAAATTAATTTTAAAGAAGTTCCACAGGAATTTTATATAAGTTTCTTAATCAAGTAAGAGGCTGAAGGTTGACTTCACCAAAAATAAAATCCTCATAAAGTTCTTCCACATATTAAAAGAGCTCATGGCATTTAAGGACTGAATAAAAGAAGTACCTTACAATGAATAGCAAATCTTTCACGTAGATCACAACTGTAATAAAAAGTGAGATCGCAGGAATGTAAGTAGATTCTGCCTGAAGTAAAATTAACTTGACAGAAAAAATATTATGGAGAATAATTAAATAAAAATATTAGCATTGAATTTTAGATTAACTTCGTATTAGTGTATTCCGATGATTATTGTTCAAAAAGGAACATAATCGGAATAGTAATTACCAGAAATGGAATTATTTCTAATTTTACGTTTTTGTTACTCTGATTGTAAGCCAGCAGTGGACAGTTTGAAATCTATCAAATTTTTACATTCAGTATATCAGAAATTAATTTAGTGATTAATAAATAAATGTGGCACTGCATGATTTCTATTTCAAATTCCATTTATATTAAGAAATTAAACTGTATTTATTCCAAACAAGCCACATATTAGATGGCAAAGGATCACAAGTAGCTCGCAAACCACAGTTATCAAAGTATCAGAGAGCCGTATGCTGTTCACAAGCCACAGTTTGGCCATGACTGTTATATACGTTTATTATAAGTTTTATTAAATAAGTAAGATATTTGTAATCTTGTTCATTTTTATAGTTTTTTGTACAGCATGTTGTATAGCAGGGGTGGGCAGTTGTTTTGATTTATGGGCCACTTTGTGGAAGTGGAGGTTAATGGATTCCACATCTTTTAAAATGACTGCCTCTGCAATGCCACAGTCAGTTCTTTTACTTTCTCAAGTACATCAGCAGCAAACATCATCTTAACATCTGTCATCCATTGCCAAAGAAAACCAAACACAATCTTTGCTTGTAGTTTCCACCTAATCTGGGAGTTCACTGAGTCAATGTGCCTCTTTATAGTCCGTCCTGACTATGAAATGCTTTCAAATTTGATTTTTACATCAGGGCACAATACTCTTGCACAATCTGCCATAAACCATATTAAGAAACTCGCTGTTCGAAAAGCTTGTTGTATTCGACAGGGTTGTAGGCTACCATGAAACTTGCTTCTATAGTACTATTTTGAAGTGTTGATTGCTTTGTAAATAATATTTTTTGCTTCTTTTCACATCTACACAGTTTTTATTTTGCTTTCTTCCTTGGAACGTTTGTAGCTATATTTCTAATGTTTTGTTTATTGATGGCGTTTCATATTGTACTCCTTAAACATGGCTATCATTTCTTGACACATTAAACACACTGCTTTATTCCCATATTTCCAGAGGAATATTTGTTTGTCCATTCTTCTTTAAACATGACATTAATCACTGATGTTATGTTTTCTTTGGAAAGTTCATGGCTTCACAAAAGTTGGAAATTTATATATTTACTGTTGCAGAAAAATTGAAATTAACCAGATCAACCACAAAAGCACTGCACATTGTGTCTAACCTGGGAATACATATTGATGCGGTCATATTGATGTCTTAACGGAAAATACGAGATGAATCTTCTGTTGCGCACAGGAAGGAAATCTTGGTTCAAAGTGGACCTTTCTGAATGTTTTAGTGGCTGCATATAGCCCATGGGCCACTGTTTGTCCACCCCTGTTGTATAGTATTAAAAAACTTTTTTTTCCATAATAAATGACACTAAACATGAAATTTGATTTTGTTTTAAACTTTATGATCTAACATTAATGACTGTCTCACAATATTATTTCTTTTCTCTTCCACATGAAAAATATTGTGTAATATTTTAGATTAAAAGAAATTTTATTTTAAGATTGTAAAAATGTACCATATTTTCTAATATTCATATCGTTATTCTATTTTCCAATTTTATGGTACCCCCTTTTAAGTTTTTGAGGCTTTTTTCTTACATTAGGATTGTTTATTATTCAATATCAGTGTATGAAATTCATACTAATGTTTACTTCACAGTGTTACTAAATAGAAACATTTGTGCAATAATTTGACTCTTTTCCAAATTTTACTTGCCTGTTTCAGTTACTTCATGAATGGAAATAATTTTTAAAATAATTTGTTTCAGAGAAAAATAATGCTGCGTTATTATTTACTACTGTTACGGATTTGGTATTAAAATAGCTAATGATAGTAGAATTATAAATTAAATTGTTTTATTCCCCGTGCAGTGCAGCGTGTAATGAATATTATGAGAAAGCTAAGCCGGAAAAATTAAAAATACAAGAGCACGTGCATTTAACATTTAATAAATAAATAAATATCTCTTTTTGATTTCGAGAAAATACCAGAAAATTCTCGCGCATTTATAAAGCTTATATAAGCAGCATGAAAATCTCTCAATTCATTAATTAATTGTTGTTTTAAAAGTTTTTTTAGAAAACTGTTCTTGTTGACTGTAGCAAATTCGCGGTTAGCTTTCTCTAGCTGTTTTGAATTAAGTTCTGTTGAACGTTTGAGTAGTTAAAAGATAACTACTGTGAGATATTGTAATACTGTATGAATATCTGAGGAAATATAAGAGTTTTGTTTTATTTGTTGTGATAATAATAAATTTTGTTCATTTTTCATCGTATTTGTGCATTCAATTTATGGGAAAACCACAAATTTCATATAAATTAAAAATTTTAGAATAAATTAATTAGTAATTACTAAATGACATTCTAGAGATTAGATTTATGACTGTGCAGTACAAACAAATTAATTAACGAAAGTTTATATGAAATAATTATCAGTGTTCCTACATCAGAATGAATCAAATGAGAAATGGACTGTAATTTTTTTGATCATAATAGTTTATCTTTTGCATGCCCAGCTAGTATTATAATTATATATTTAATGAAATAAAAAAGTAAAATAAATTAATCTACCATTTTATTGGTAAATGGTTAATGTGTAAAATGTCAGTTTGCTTTCATACTCACTTCAGTTTATTTCATGTTTTTTCAAAAGTTAACTTCCTTTATGCTTTTAATCAGTATTCAAGGTATCAAAGATTTGGTGCAGAGGAATATCTTCTTCAAGCAGGAGGTGTTCTGTGCCCACAACCAGGATGTGGGGCTGGTCTTTTGCCAGATCCTGAATGTCGTCGTGTAGTATGTGTTCAAGATGGTGGTGGGGGATGTGGTGAGTATTTATTTGCTTGTGACATTTCTTTTGCTGTAGTTGTTATGGTGCAAGCAGATCATCAATTATTGTTAATAATAACCAAATAAACTGTTTAATATTATGGGGAAAGATTGATGATAAGCATAACTAGAACTCATGAAGTTAAACTAGGATTGATTTATTTACATTAGAATGAAAAGAAAAGTAAAAAGAATAATCATCAAAACATTTTGGACACGTCTGTCCTCACTATCATTCACGTCTCATCTGACCGCACCCAAATCTAGATGTGGCGCTCTTAAATAATCTTAGTTACAGTTCCAGTTCCCACATAATTCGGCCATCCAACATAGTCATCTGCCCTCAGATGACAAGAGCAAACAGTGAAATTTAACATATAAAATAAGGTAAAAAGAAAAAATACTAATGCTGTTAACCTATAAATGAAAATACTAAATTAATACAGATAAATGGAAATACTAAATTAAAAGAGATAAATGAAAATAATATTCTATCTGGATCTTCTATTAACGGCACCTAGAAAAATAGAAAAAAATAATAGTTACTTATCATAATCAAAGAAAAGATGAATAGGATTTAAAGTCCAAAGGTGTAGGTGAGTTCGTATGAGTAACTGTCCATAAAACACAAAAGTTTAGGTAATATGTTCTATTGAAGTCCAAGGTCTCGTAAATTCAGCGCAAGTGCTTGTTTTCATGGGTCCATCGAAGAAACCACATTTTTCAACATCATAAGTATCATTTGGCTTGATTTTTACGATTTTATAGGATCCAAGAAACTTGGGTTTCAGTTTAAGACCAGGTCCATATTGTGTATGCTTGATTGCCACTAGATCATGAAGCTGGAATTTACGGGATGGTTTAAGTCGCAAATTGTAAGTTTTATGATTTTCAGCCTGGACTTTCAAAATTTGTTCTCTAGCTTCCTTGTGAAGATCATCACGAGCATTGATGGAATCTGACTGGATCTCTGCATTTAATAGCTCTGTAAGTTTATCATGATTAGCGGATTTCATTTTAGTTCCAAACATGAGTTCAAATGGAGTTGTATTGATACTCCATTTGGTATTGAATTGATCACTTGCTGAACTTCACCGACGTGTGTATACCATTTTGACAGATTTTAATCAATAATTTGGAAAGAACAGAAATTATGACAGAATTCAATCTCTCAATTTGTCCATTGGCACGAGGAAGTCTGTAGTAATTGGAATGTGCTGTATATTGTTGATTGAACAATAATCTTGAAAATCTTTTGATGTAAATGCTGAGCCTTTATCTGAAATTATATGCGAAGGATTTCCAAAGACAAATTTTTGATTGTCCAATTTAGATATTACTTCGGTGCTATCAGTAGATTTTGTTGGGTAAAGCCATACAAACTTTGTGAAAGAGTCAATAACAGCAAAATATACTTGCAATTTTTATGAGTACTCTGGAGTGGTCCTAAATGATCAGTGTGATATGTGTGAAGTGGTACATCTTGTTTGGGTATAGAATGCAACATACATTCTTGTTTACCACATTTATGATTAATTAGTATGCAAGAAACACAGTTAGCAATTTAGTTGTCAATTTTATCTTTAAGTTTAGGAATATAAAATTGTTGTTTGATGAGTTCTTGAGTTCGTTTAGAAGCGAAATGTCCACGAAGATGTGCGTCCTTAATTATGTCACTCTGCATTGATTCTGAAACAATAAGTAATTCCTTACCATCTACAAATTTATAAAGTATATCAGCTTTAACACACTAGTCATCATAAGGTTTAACTTTTAAGACTTTTTTGATAGCTCGGATGTGATCATCTTGCTCTTGAGCTTTTTATATTTTCAAAATGAGGCTATCTTGAGTGATGACCATAATAAGGGATCTGCTTAATGCATCAACATGTGTCATTCGTGTTCAAGTTCTGTGTTCGATTTCATAGTCTAAATCTTCTAACATCAATACCCAACGCTCTGTTCATGTATTTAAGTCTTTCTTGTTCATCATCATTTTGAACGCGTTACAGTCAGTAATAATTTTGAAGTGTTTTCCTAAAAGATAAACTGAAAATTTTTTCAAAGCTTGAACTACAGCCAATACCTCAAGTTCGTAACTGGTGAATTTCTTTTCCGCGTCAGATGTCTTTTTACTCATGTAATAAACAGGATGTTGGAAATTATCAATCATAGATCTTTGCATGAGTATACAACCATACCCATGGATACTGGCATCAGTGTGTATTTCGGTATCGCTGTGCTGATTATAGATGCTGAGTACAGGTTTTTCACATAAACATTGTTTCAAAAGACTGAAAGCTTTTCTTTCATTGTCACCAAAGTGGAAGTCATTGCCTCTCTTTAGGAGATCAGTTAATGGTTGAGAAATTATGGAAAAATTGAGAATAAATTTATGAAAATATCTGGCAAGACCAAGGAAAATTTGTAAGTCTTTGTGACTTTTAGGTTCAGGATAATTAGTAACAGCAGCTGTTTTAAGAGGAGATGGAACAGTTGACCATTTTCGATGACATGACCAAAGAATTCAATTCTGTGACAAAAATTTAGCTTTCTTAAAATTAATTTCGAATCCATAAGCAGATGCAACTGAGAAAACGGATTTCAAACACTGAATCCCTTCATCTGAATCTTTAGCAGGAATAATGATATCATCTAGATACAGTAAAAGACCTTGCAAGATTAAATCCTTGAAAATGGAATTTACAAATCTTTGAAATACAGAAGGAGAAGTACAGAGACTGAAAGGTACATGTAGAAACTGATATTGTCCATTATGTGTGACAAATGAAGTGTAATGTTGGCATTTTTTTCGACACTAAATATGGAAGAAAGAATTTTTTAAATCAATTGTAGTGAATGTATGAGCATCTTGTAGTTTGGTAGTCTCTCACTCAAATCTGTTTGAAACAAACACATTTTGTTTTCCAAAATAAATATTACAAGCAAACTGAGGGATTAGCCATGGGAAGCCCCTCAGTCCCATCCTGGCTGATATCTACATGCATTATTATGAATCAAAATTGTTTGAAACTTTAAACTTCCCGCCATGGTTCCGCTACGTAGACGATACTTTTACCCTGTTTGAAGGTAATAAAGATGATTTAAATAAAGTTCTTTCAACAATGAATTCTATTGATCCTGCTATTCAGTTCACTTTTGAACTTGAGACTTGCAATTCTCTTCCGTTTCTCGACATTCTGGTCACACGTAACACATCCAACTTCAGTACTACAGTTTACCGTAAACCTTCATCGGTTTGCCTTCCACCACACTTTAAATCATGTCATCCGACTAAACAAAAGTTAGCTTCATTTTATTCCTATGTTTTCCGTGCTCTTCAAGTTTGCTCCTCCAAACTAGCCCTTGATGAAGAACTAAATTATTTAAAAGCAATAGCTATTGACAGGGGCTTTTCACCCAACATATTTATCAAGCAGTTAAAAAATTCTCATCTCAACACACTAAAAGGCCACACTCTTATTTTAGGAGATTATAAAAATTCTGTTGTCATTCCCTTCTTTCCATCAATTAGCTATAAAGTTGCACATATTTTGCAGAAATTTAACTTTCGGGTTGTTTTATTCTCCCATCAATAAAATTCCGAACTTCTATACTCAAGGACCCCATTCCGGATATGAATTCCTGGGGTATTTTTATAGGATTCCTTGCCAGTGTGGTTTAATTTACATTGGCCAAACTAAGAGAGCCTTAAAATTTCGCGTCAAGGAACATGAGGCATATGTTAGAAAAAAGGAAACACAGAAGTCTTCTGTTGCTCAACATTGTTGGTCCGAAAATCACACTTTCAATTTTTCTGCTGCCAAAATTATTCAAAAAACATCTTCCATTGGAGAACTGGATTTTCTAGAGGCATTTCACATTCATAAAAATCTTTCTGTTCTAGTTAACGATCCTAATTCCAATCCAAATTTGCCTTCGGCCTTTAAAGAAATTATGTTTTAGTTCTGGTTTCACCAACAGATGGCGCCACTTGCTTATTCTTGTCCAGGCTTTCTTATCTTATCTAATCATTATTTCCTAACTTGTTCATTTGCGGTTTTGCAGCTGAGGATGGTGATTCGGTAAAACCATGGAAACTAGTCCTGTGAAAATTTTGTGAATAATGCTGATTTTTGTTGTTTGACTTCTGAATTAATATTTATTCGGTGTGTTATTGTGTCTTAATCTTGTAGTTTGTCCCATCTTTATTAAGGGTAAGGGATACCAAGTTTTAACTATTTTCTTGTTTATTTTCCAATATTCAATACAAACTCTAGGGTTGCTGTTTTTTTGTGTATTACTACAACTCGACTAGAATATTCGGAAGAACAAGGTTCAGTTATGCCATCAGCTAATCAAGTTTGAATTTGCTTGTCTACAATGTCTCTTTCGACAAAAGGTAATCGTCGAGGTCTGTGAAAAGTAGGTGTTTTATCTTTTACTTGAATAGTCATCTCAGTGTTTGTAGTTTTAGTTTTAAGAGGTCTGTAATTGGAGACAAGATTTTCAATAATTCTAACTTGTTCTTTTGTAGCAGTAGGACCTATTTTTAGCTCAAATGTGTTATCAAGGGAAATATTATTGATGTACACAATCTTCCACATCATTTTGTTTAACAACATGTTTAGAAATATGAACACCATCTTTATTTATGTTAAGTTCACCTTGTTTAAGAATATCCATGCCAATTATAGCATCAAATGGCATTACATTACTGTTTACAACATAAACATAAGTTGTAAATAGTTCCGTATCTATTGAAATGTTAGCTGTAAAATAACCCATTGGTTTAATTTTGCCATTACCAAAGCCAGTGAGCATATTATGAAACACACTTAAAGTGGAATTCTCCATTTGTTTATAAATGTCATTAGACAGAACCGTTGCTTCGCTTTGGGTATCAATGATAGTGGTCAGCGATATATCATTAATTTTGATTACTTTACGGAGTAGGTTCGGCACATGAAAGTTGATTGATGTGACAGCATTCTTTTTTT